GGGGGGAGCCAAAAAAAAAATCCCTGCAAGACCCATCACAGCATAGAAGCATAATCCCACCACTCAGCCCAAAACCACAATGCAAAACCCACCCAGAACAGTTTTTTTAAAAATAGAAATCAGCACCTTACCAAGCAGTCCGACGCCTCCTCTGATCGCACACTCTCTAACTGCTGGGGTGAAAGAACTACAAAGATGCAGCCTTGTCACCACCAATAGTTAGCAATTTGAATTCCCCGCCATGGTTATATGTCGGGACCTTCGTAAGTCAAGGCACCACTGTATAAAGTTACCAGAACTGGCCACTAGAGGGAGCCAGAGGCCATGCTGTCTGTAACATTTGCTATTAAAATAGCATTTTCTGTAATTAAAATTACATTCAGTATTTGTAGGAGAGGGGCTTGGAACCGATCCACCATGGATACAGGGATCCTACTGTATAGCACTGAAAGTGAGAAAAGCTGCTACAAGATGTTGCAATATGCCCAACATCCAATATGTGATCACACCCATTTTGGGTGCAATCACACAAGAAAAAAATGTGATGGTTGTTGTGGGTTTTTCAGGCTTTTTGGCCATGTTATGAAGGTTGTACTTCCTAATGTTTCGCCAGTCTCTGTGGCAGGCATCTTCAGAGGACAGCACTCACCAGTGCTTTACTGTTTTTGTACATTTATTTGTACATTTGGATATTCGTCTATGACCGTATTAAACCTGATCTGATCTGATCGGACATCATGATGACTCTCTTTTCTGGATGACTAGTCTACATCACTGCTTTATTGACTACGCAGAAGCCTTTGACTGTGTGGACCACAACAAACTATGGCAAGTCCAGGACTGGACGAATCCCAAGGTGGAATTAAGATTGCCAGAAGAAATATCAACAATCTCAGACATGCAGATGATACCATTCTGATGGCAGAAAGTGAGGAGGAATTAAAGAACCTCTTAATGAGGGTGAAAGAGGAGAGCGCAAAAATGGTCTGAAGCTCAACATCAAAAAAAGCTAAGAGATCTTGGCTACTGGTCCCATCACCTCCTGGCAAATAGAAGGAGGAGGCAGTGACAGATTTTACTTTCTTGGGCTCCATGATCACTGCAGATGGTGACAGCAGCCATCAAATTAAAAGATGCCTGCTTCTGGGGAGGAAAGCAATGAGAAACCTAGACAGCATCTTAAAAAGCAGAGACATCACCTTGCTGACAAAGGTATGGAAGTGAGAGCTGGACTATATAGAAGGCTGACTGCCGAAGAATTGATGCTTTTGAATTATGGTGCTGGAGGAGACTCTTGAGAGTTCCCTGGACTGCAACGAGAACAAACCGATCAATTCTGAAGGAAATCAACCCTGAGTGCTCACTGGAAGGACAGATCCTGAAGCTGAAGCTCCAATACTTTTGCCATCTCATGAGTAGAGAAGACTTCCTGGAAAAGATTATTTGCATCTGTGAGGACTGAACCAAAACAATATAATGAAGAAGTGAACTACTGTAACTAATTAAAACTGCATCTCTCTCTCTCTCTCTCTCTCTCTCTCTTTCTCTCATTTATTTTGTTTTTATTTATTTATTAAATTTATACCCCCCCTCCATCTAGACACACGTCTACTCTGAGCGGCTAACAATAAAAATGGAATAAAACAGTATAATAAAATAAAAAACAACAATAGTAATATGGTTCAAGATGCAGAAAAAATAAAAATAATCCATTGATTATTATGCTAAGCAACAAGATTCCAGCCATTATCGTGTTGTATTTTTATTATTTTCTTCTCTCATAGTGCTGTAAATTGCTTCAGGATCTGTGCGAAGAAGTGGTTCTAATAAATCAAAAATAATCTTAGCAGTGAGAGTAGAGCAAACATGTTTTTAGCATTTGTCCTGGTGTTTGTTAGACGTGTGGATTCTAGAGCCACACTCAATTCTTTTATATAGGAAATGTACAGCTATGTTTTCACCATTATTTTAAAGCTATAAACTGAATTTATTTTCTATGTGCTTTTAAACAGGTCAACCATTCTGATAAGAATAAGAACCGATACAATGGCTGGCCGGCTGAAATCCAGATAGAAGGCTGCATTCCGAAGAACCTGGGAAGCTGAATTCTGAACTTATGTCAGCAAAGTAATGCATTCTATGATTAAAACATGTCTCTTGTATGGAACTTTGTTCCATAGGTTGAATTTAAATGTTCATAACTGTACACCAGACAAGACTCGGGTCCCATGGAATGTCAGTTCTTGCAGACAGTTCCTCTCTTTATGGGCCTTAAATAAGCACAGTTGTTCTTCCTATGAATGTTGTTATGTTATCGATTAAGAAAAATTAATTGGTTTTTAAGTTGCAAGATTATTGCAAGCCGTAGAATTTTTTGAGTATTATCTCCATTTTCAAGTGTGATTGAAAAGGCTAACTTCTCAAATCCAACAACCAAACTAGGGAATGAAGCTTGTGGGTGGATTTTCTGTCCAGCTCCTCACGAGTCTCTTCTTCCTTTCCTTGAAATACTGTACTTTTCAGCCAAATCTAGTCCTTAAACTACTGGTTTCCTGGTTTTACAATTTATACTTGAATGTTTTTATATATTTGTTTTCTAATTATACTTGAAACAATAAAAAGTTTTTGTTTTTAAATTCAGTTCTGTAGTATTTTGTAGTTAAATACGATCATTTGTTGGGAAACCTTTGTTACTGACAATTTAATTAGAAGAGTCTGCAGATTCTTCTGAATGGGGTAAGTTACCATATATGGCAATATATTACGTCTACTGCAGACTGTTTCTGTGGAGAATGGAATGCTGAGGTGATCAAATGGTAGCCTAATTTGAGAGCTTTTTAAAATAAATAACAAATAAATAATAATAAATATTATTTAAAATAAATAATTAATAAACAATAAATTGAGCCATCAGTGACAACCGAAAGTAAATTTTGGGGGAAATTGCTTTATTGACTTATGCAGAATCACCCCTTCTGAATGCCAAAATTGAGTGCCTTTATTGTGGGATCCTAAATGGGATTATGGCAAGGTGGCAGTAACAGGCAACATTCTTTATAGAAAGATGGAAGATTTTAATGTGTATTTAGAAAACAAGTATGGGGAGAGAAGAAAGCTGCTTATTGGAAGGACACTGAGGTAGGCATGAAAATAGTAAGCATGTTGTGCCATAAATGTGGCTATGTATTTCTAACAGTCATTTACAGGAAGCAGCTGTTCCCGTTTGACCAAATTGGGCCACAGTTACAAATTAGAAATATACTTATATTGGGTGTCCCTACCATTCTGATCATATTTGAAAAGAAGTCCTACGCAGATCATAACATGCTTCTTTCCTCTTCCTACCACAATCTATCAAGAACAGAAAGAATAATTACAAACCAGCCTTTGTAAATGATATTGAACTCATATTTTCTGCAGGGCTAATCCAAAATGCAGGTGATAAACCTCTAAATAGCTTGAATTAATCACATAAGAACATTTAATTTGTTTGCTGGTTGGTTAGGTTTATAACCCACTTCACTATTAAGCTCAAGGCAATACCTACCTTTCCTCTCCTCCGCTTCATCCTCCCATCAATCCTGTCACTATAATCAAATCTACAGAATGTAACTGGGTCAAGGTCACCCACCAGCCAGTGAATTCCTTTGCTGACTCAAAATTGCAGGTCGGATCTCCCGCTTCCCAGTCAAACACTCTTGAAGTCTAGACTAGTCCAGCTTTCTAGTTTCACAGTGCGCAGCCTCTCATCCATGGAAAGCCCACAAGCAAGACAGTTTAATAACACCCTCCTGTTCATACTTTCTAGCAACTGGTGTCGAAAAACATAGTGCCTCTGATTCTGCAGATAATATGAAGCCATCATAACTTACAGCTATTGGTAGCTTTATATCTAAGTTCCTTTTAATGCCATCCAAGGTGGGAGGTCTTACTACATCTCCGGGAAGCGAATTCCATAGCATAACTCTGCGGTACATGAAGCAGTACATCCTTTCCTCTACACCAAATCTTTCACTGGTTGGCTTCATTGAATGGTCCTGAGCATTATTATTATGGGACTGGAGGAAACATTTCCCTAGTCATGTTGTCTGTATGGGACAATACCTGGAAGGCCATAGTTTCTCCATCTCTCCTCTACACCATATCCAATTGAATTCAACTTTTAAATTTCTGCTTAACTTGCTGTGATTGGGTTTTTTCTCTAGGAGGGGCGGACCTTTCTTTTCAGCGGGAAAAAAGGACGGAGAAGGAGATAACGGTTCAAACATGGTTTCTTTATTTCTTTTCACTTCTTGGTTGTTAACATAGAAAGGATCCAAGTAACTCAGGCAGCAACTTGTAACTCTTAACATGTGTTATATTTGGACTCTTTCTTTCTGTCATTCCTTCATCATCCTGTGCGAACCTTGTTCTGTTTGAGGCCACGTTGGGAAGGTCCAGGCAGCACAGATTGTCCCGCAACAGGGGTGTTTCACCAAATTCCCCTCTAGATACAGAAGGTAGTTGGTGGTACCAACGTACAGTGGTGTCTCACTAGACAGTTACCCCACATGACAGTTTTTTCGCTAGAATTGACTTTTTGCGATAGCTATAGTGATTCGCAAAACACTAATTCCTATGGGGGAATTTTGATGGACAATGTTTGGTCCCTGCTTCGCAAACCGATTTTTGCTAGACAACGATTTTGACAGCTTCCTCCGCGCTCGCAAAACAGGTGTTTTCGGGACCTAAGCTTCGCAAGACAACGATTTAAACAGCTGATTGGTGGTTCGCAAAGCGGCTTTCCTATGGCTGATCTTCGCTAGACAACAACAATTCTTCCCCATTGGAATGCATTAAACAGGCTTCAATGCATTCCAATGGGGAAAATGCTTCTCGCTAGACAATGATTTCGCTAAACAGCGATTTCAGTGGAACTGATTATCATCATCTAGCGAGGCACCACTGTACGTCACTTTCTTCCCTATGCCCTGGGACTGAGGCACTGTTACCATGCTGTGAAGGTGATCAAGAGAGTGTGCCGTCCTCCGTTAAAAAGGAGGATGTAGAGGAAGGCGGATGTGTGGAAGGGGTGCTGATAGAGCTGGACCAAACAGAGGTGGTGACTGAGAGGGCTGAAGAGGTGTGTCTTGTGGAGGAAGGAAGGGAGGAGGTGGATCTAATTATGTGGGAGGAGATAAAAGAAGGAGGAGGCGCGCGGGAGTTTAGAACTTGGACGGACTTAAACGTGGACAGACCAAGGCACAGAGGGGTCCAGACTGAGCCCATTCTCGACCAAGGTCAAACGTCTGGAGCAACATCGGGGTTCCCTAATCTGATGACTGGAGGGGGACTACTGCCAGATCCACCTTTCCTGGGAGCCAAGGGCAGAGGTATCGAGCCCCTGGAATGGAAGGTTTCAGTTTTCCCACTGAACTATCCTGGGGGAGGGAGGCGAGTGATCCGGCCAGGGCCAGAGTATCAGAAGAGGCCTTTAGAGGGAGATTGGGCCCGCCACCCTTGCTGCGGCACGGTGTGTGCACTGAGGAGCGCGCCCTTGCGTCAGATGACAGACCGGGAGAAGTTTGGGCCAGCTCCCTTCTAGGAGAACAAAGCGCGGTTCCTATTGTTCGTCCTAAGAAGTATCATTTGTTAAGTGATCGTTTATTACAGGATCCGTTTGATCCTTTGGAGTTAGAAGCTGTTTACAATAAAGTGTTCAATAATGAACCCCGTGATGAGCCTCCGTGTCTGTTTCCTGCCTTCACTACAAGTGCCCCCCCCGCTGGAGAAGGACCTTCTTACACATGCTCCATCCTATTTTGGGCTTTATCTTTTCTTTATCCATGATATTAGGAGGGTCGGGCAATAAGTCTCCACCGGTTCTAAGATTCGGAAATTCCCGGGCTAGCTCAGTCATTCCATTCCTTTTCGATTCTATTCCTTCAGTCTGTGTACTCTTGTCCTCTCTCTCAATTTCCTGTTCTTCCTTCCTTCTCTCCTCTCCTCCCTCCTTTATAACCTTGTCCCACCTCATTAGTTCTAGCTCCTCCCCTCTCCTTGCTTGTCTGGTCTCTGCCAGAAATATCTCCATAGCTCTGTTTATACTGTACCAGTCTCTCCTCCTTCTCACCTCTCCCACCGCGCAACCAGTTGTCATCTCCTGTCTGACCTCAGCGGAGGACGGCACACTACGCTGCTCTCCTTCATACTTGCCTTTCTCTTTAACCTAACAGAAATGTTATAACCTTTCCTCACTGAGTAGTTGGTGCAATGCCTTAATCATTTGGATTGGGGTTCCCCCCCCCCAGCTGTATAGCAGTTTTTTTCAAGTGTGGTGACCAGAACTATCCAAATGTGGTCATACCATTGTTTGATTTAAACTTTGCACTGTACAGTGGGGTCTCTACTTAAGAACTTAATCCGTATTGGAAGGTGGTTCTCAAGTTGAAAAGTTCTTATGTTGAATCTGCATTTCCCATAGGAATGCATTGAAAACCATTTAATCCGTATCTGCTCTTTTCCGTCCATAGAAACTACAGTGGAACCTCTACTTAAGAACTTAATCCGTTTTGGAATGGTGTTCTTAAGTTGAAACGTTCTTAAGTTGAAGCAAAATTTCCCATAGGAATGGACTGAAAACCAATTAATCCGTTCTGGCTGTTTTTTTGTTATGTAGAGGTGCGTTCGTACATTGAAGCATTAGTTCCCATAGGAACTAATGCAAAGCTGGTTAATACGTACTCTACCACTAGGGGGAGACTTTTTTTAACCTAAGATGACCTAAGGTTAAAAAAAGAGCAGGAAAGTTTTTTTTTCCTGTTCTTATCTTGGATTTCTGTTCTCAAGTAGAAGCAAAATTTAGCAAATGGAGCTGTTCTTAAGTTGGATTGTTCTTAAGTAGGGACGTTCTTAAGTAGAGACCCCACTGTAAAGGCATGCTGGCTAGGATCCTACTAGTTAGTTACACTGCTGTGCAAACTGCTTCTGCTTCACAGGAGAGCTGAAGAAACTAAACCCTGTAGCTCTTTGATTCTTTTTTTGTCTCCATCAGCAATAGCTGTCATGGCCAATGGTGAAATATGATGGGAAATATATTCCAGGAACATGGGGAGGATGACAGAGTCCTCAGTTCTGACTTGCCTCCCCACTGCCTCCCCTTCAGCTTTCCTGCTGGTCTGTGCTTGTTTACTTTACAACCTTGCAGGGTTGTTGTATACAAGGTTGAGAGAATGCTCTTTAGAGAATTCAACACACAATATAAATGCTTTAATATATATTTTTAGTTCCACCAATAGCTATTATAGATTTCAGCTGGCGATGTTTCTTCTGCGCTTTCAAACGGCTAGGAACCATTTGGGCACAATGTTGGAAGAAATTCTCGTAAGAATCCTTCAGTCTCGAGAGACTATGGTAATGTGCTCGGTATCAAGGACTTGGAACAGCGTCTAGTGTGGCTGAGGAGGCCAATTTGAGAGTGACCATCTGTTCCACACTGAAGACAAATACAATCTGTCCCCTGTCCAGCTCCCTGGTTTTGCTGCTTTTGTGATTTCCTCTTTGCCTCGGCCTGCTGGACAAGGGTCTCTTCAATTTGGGAGAGGCCATGATGCACTGCCTGCCTCCAGGATGAACACTCAGATGCCAAGGTTTTCCATCTGTTGAGGTCTATTCCTAAGGCCTTCAGATCCCGCTTGGATCTGGAAGAAATACCGTACTCAAAATGATTGGCGGGAAAGGGTCAAGGAGCGCTGGGTTGGCCATTCCAGGCTGATAACTAAATAGATTCGGATGAAACACTTTTAGGAGAGCATCAGGAGGAGCAGAGCAATGAAAGGTTTAAAGCTCTGGGTTGAGCAGTCCCTATCGGATCGTTTACGAATCAGGAACCAGATGAATTTTCCAAGTCTCCACCGTGACAAAGGGTTTCTCCATTGCAGCGAAAACGGAGATTCAGATTCGTTTCCTCTGCTCCGAGGCGGTGCTTCAGAACCGCCGCCCAAAAGCATCCGGCGCTGCTCGGAAGCTTTGTTGTTAGGATGAAACGAAACTTAGACCTTCCGAGACGGGAAAGGAGCGTGAACGTCCCCTTCGGGCCGCGATTGCTCCTGGCTGCCCGCCCGACTCCACTGCCTTGCGGCGTCCACTCTCGTTTGCCGCGTCCCTTTCTGTTTCCTGGCGAAGGGAAGGGAGGGGGCGGCGTGGAAGCCCCGCCGGGGAGCCGAAGGGCGCCGGGATCCCGAGAGCGAGAGGCAAGTACGGTAAGGGGCTTCCGTCGGGCTCGTTCCGTGCATCGGCAAAGGGCAGGGCGGCTGTCCGGAGAGAGGGAGGGAGGCTGCCTGCCTGCCTGCCTGGAGGAAGGCGAAAGGGAGGTTCCCTCTCGGAGGACCGTCACGGAGCCACACGGTTACAGGAGCGGGCGGCGATTCCCTGTCCGGTCGTCGGTAAGAAGAAATTCAGGGCAAAGAGATGCACCGCTTGGTTTGTCAGAGAAATCCTCTTAGGGTTGGCCAGTTTAGGGGAAAGCCTGTGCGCCTCCTGCGATGGCCAATGGCGGGGGATGGAGCTGTCCTGATGTTACTCGACCGTAACTCGCTTGATAATCTTGGGTTTTGACTGATGGGCGTTGCAGTTCTGCAGCATCCGGACAGTCAAATGTTTCCCAGCCCTGGTATGTATCGCAATCTCTTTTTATCTTAAGAATTTAAAAAAAAAACTTGGGAATGATAACAGAGATGGCAAAGGGCAGAATAACTTCAGAAGAAATGGAAAGCAGTCTCCGCTCAATGTCAGTTTATCCTCTTTGGGAAAGACATCTGGTGCAACGAAGTCTTGATCAGTGGTCCCCAGCCTTGGGCCCCTCCCCCTGTTCTCCTTGGACTACAACTCCCATAAATCCTGACCAGCACAGCTAATGATGAAGACTTCTGGGAGTTTTTGTCCAAGAATATCTGGGGAGACACAGCTGGGAGCCGGTGGTCAAGTTCGTGATCAAGCTTCGATGCAAGCATGATGCTGGTAATTCAGTCACATTGCTCCATTGTTAGATGGGCACCTGCTAGTCAAAAGGCAATGTCCAGGAATGTTGTTTTTCTTTCTTGGCAGTTTTTCTCCAGCAAGAAAATAAGTGGTAGAAAAAGACAGGGGAGTTACAAAGATCTGCACCCTCTGTGAAATCCCACGAATGAGACAGGGCAATAACTGAGCTAAGGTTTGATGGTGCAAAGAAAGTGTCCACACTTCGCCAAGCGTAAATACATAGTATTCGTGCTAGAGTCTCTCCTGCAAAACAGCATGCAAGCTAAAACAGAAGCAAAAAAAGCAACTTTTTTTTCATTGTCTTATCAAAACCCTAAATTGACTTCTATTGTAGGAAAGCTTGTTGTGTAGAAAGCAAAATGTCAGTCAACGATGTGAAGAATGATGTCTCGCCTCTGAAGGAGAAGGCTTACAGAGAGGTATGTCAAATATAATAACTGGTTTTGCTAAAATTCATGTCCCCCTCATAAAGGTGCAATTATGCACATTAGAACAGCAAGTATATATTAGGAACCCATATCTGTGGGGTTCAGCACCAACCCCCCTCTCCTGGTGGATGCTGGAAAACATACATTATAACCAACAGTATTTAAAAGCAAACAATTTATATAGTATGATCTCTGGCTCCCTCTAGTGGCCAGTTCTGGTAACTTTATATTTAGAAATATATATTTCTAGGATTTTTCTTTTAATATTTTTGATATTTTCAGACTGGGGATAAGTAAATCAGTGGATACTAATCGTGCAGATAAGGGGGTCCAACTGTATTTTAAAATTACAGATGTACTGTGATCCAGATTCTGGTGGAGCAGTGATTTGGATAGTGCAGTGACAATGGTACAGCTTGAAAAAGTAGAAGCCTTCCAGCAGCAGAGGGGGAAAAAGCTACTTTGGAAGCAAAAAGTTTGGACTGGTTTGGATCAGCCTTTTCATCATGTAACAAATATTTCATATTCACCAGTTTCATAAGTGAAACAAACCCCATGGTATTTGACCAGGTAGTTGCAACTTTAAATTGCTAAAATGTGCTGGATTATGGAGAAAGCCAGAGAGTTCCAGAAAAACATCTACTTCTGCTTCATTGACTATGCAAAAGCCTGTGACTGTGTGGACCACAGCAAACTATGGCAAGTTCTTAAAGAAATGGGAGTGCCTCACCACCTTATCTATCTGTATGTGGGACAGGAATCAACAGTTAGAACTGGATATGGAACAACTGATTGGTTCAAAATTGGGAAAGGAGTATGACAAGGCTGTATATTGTCCCCCTGCTTATTTAACTTATACGCAGAATACATCATGCGAAAGGCAGGACTGGATGAATCCCAAGCCGGAATTAAGATTGCTGGAAGAAATATCAACAACCTCAGATATGTAGATGATACTACTTTGATGGCAGAAAGTGAGGAGGAATTAAAGAACCTCTTAATGAGGGTGAAAGAGGAGAGCGCAAAAAAAAAGGTCTGAAGCTCAACATCAAAAAAACCTAAAATCATGGCCACTGGTCTCATCACGTCCTGGCAAATAGAAAGGGAAGATATGGAGGCAGTTACAGATTAGACTTTCTTGGGCTCCATGATCACTGCAGATGGTGACAGCAGCCACGAAATTAAAAGACTCCTGCTTCTGGGGAGGAAAGCGATGACAAACCTAGACAGCATCTTAAAAGCAGAGACATCACCTTGCCGACAAAGGTCCGCATAGTCAAAGCTATGGTTTTTCCAGTAGCAATGTATGGAAGTGAGAGCTAGACCATAAAGAAGGCTGACTGCCAAAGAATTGATGCTTTTGAACTGTGGTGATGGAAGAGACTCTTGAGAGTCCCCTGGACTGCAAAAAGAACAAACCTATCCATTTTGAAAGAAATCAACCCTGAGTGCTCACTGGAAGGACAGATTCTGAAGTTGAGGCTCCAGTACTTTGGCCATCTCATGAGAAGACAAGACTCCCTGGAAAAGCCCCTGATGTTGGGAAAGTGTGAAGGCAGGAGGAGA